CATTTAGATTGTTTTAACTACTTCAATAATATAAACCTTCCTGGACATAAAAGTTTAGGGAATTATGAGTCATTAACAACATAGCTACTCTCAACTTTCATTTTAAAAAAGGGAATAACTGGAGCCTGTGGGGGTTTCTGCATTTTAATCTCAATTTTTAAAACAACAATAATTTTTAATGCCAATAGAAAACAAAACAGCATCACCCAATTGTAACAGATCTGTTACATTACAAATGATTTGACATTACAAATTATTTTAATATTGGGTCATCAGCATATTTGTCAAAACATTTTTTTCACGATCAGCTAACACAAATGATCAGAAACATTATTAATAGGATAGAAATGATTTTTAAAGCCTTTTTCATCGCAAAAAGTCAATCTGTCACAATAATCTTTTTGCAGTTGTATATTTGTTTTAGATGAAAAAATATATATTAGAAGGTTTAACAGATTCCCACAGGCATTTACTGAAGGGGACTGAGAGTTGGTACCTAAACGTAGGTATCCCACATCCCAAGCAAGTGTTGCATAAGTCCCATGTCTCTCAGTAACCCAATAAACATTTATTTGTAGCACAATGGCTCCAACAGAGGAGACTGAGAGAAGCTAACTATTTCCAGTATTTAGGACACTAGCACCTAGGATGTGGGAGCCTGCTTCGTGGCTGTGTTTAAAATCTGGCAGAACAATATCTGAATCTAGAATCCTTCACAACCCAGGTAAATTCCCTAACCCAGGAGTCAGCAGCCTTTTGCCAGTACAGGCTGGAAGTCTCCACCCCCCTGCCTCCACCCCAAAATGGCCAGCTGCCTGCACTTAAACTTTCATTGCACATTCCTGGTCCTACTGCAAAGATGGAAGCACAGACATGGAGACATGGCAGAGCAGCAGGCTCTGCAACAGACGAGAATGTGGCAGAGGGGATGGGCATTTTGGGCAGCACAGCACAGCTCCATGCCACCGATCCCCAATGCTAGATTGGACCTCTTTGGGGGATGGATGCAACTTGTGGGATGTAGATTTTTGTCTACAAATTCATTAGGGGGATGCAGCAAGGGATCAGAGATGGTCTGTTCACCAGGGTGCCTCTTGGGGTAACAAGGAACAACTGTCACAAACTGACAAAGAGCAGATTTAGGCTAGATATCAGAAAAAACTTCTTCATGGTATAGGTGGCCAAAATTTGGAATGGGCTTCCAAGGGAGGTGGTGCTCTCCCCTACCTTGGGAGTCTTTAAGAGAAGGCTGGATAGGCATCTGGCTGGGGTCATCACTCTTTCCTGCCTAGGCAGGGGGTTGGACTCAATGATCTGTTGAGGTCCCTTCCAACCCTAGCATCTATGAACTCTTGTGCTAACCAATAAAATACCAGCTATTTGAGCAAAAGGCGACTCCATATGCATGTTTGACAACTCCTGTCTTTTGTTCCTTTTCCCTTCCCAACGATTTAAAAACTGGTTTCCAGACTTCATTTTTTATTAATAGAATTCATGTTTTTTATCTTGCCCTAATTAGAAACATAGGTAAGAGTGATTCCACCCATTTGATTTATGTTAGACTGGGCATTCAACACATAGCATAGTTCTAGTGTTTAACCTTTAAGATAATAGTCAAGTAAGATCTTCTCTGAATAACCACCCTGACTCTTCCTAAAGGCAATCTACATATACATATGACTTTAAAAATATTACATAGAAACAAAAAGTAGAAATTGAGAACATGGAACTAGAAACACCTGTTTCTCTAAAAAGTACCCGGGGGAAAGGGCGGGGGCAGAGGGGAGCAGAAACTGAAAACTAAGCTACAGTACAGTGAACTAGGAACACCTGTTTCATAAAGCTAATTATGCAAACTATAAATGGTACTCTATGTATGATGCACAGATTCCAATTCACAATAAAATGAAAAAGACATAAATCTGCTCTGACATATACCAATTTAATTCCATCAATTTCAATGGAGTTGCTCCCAATTTACACTGATAGATTGTAGATGGATGTCAAAATGTGCAAAACCAACAGAACAATGACATTCCATAGAGAAATCTGAAACTTAGTCCAAGAAATATTCATCACAAATCTCTCAAGCAAAGCACAACAGGTTTTCTTAAAGGCAAGTTGGGTATGAACTGCCTACTCCTGAAGTTGTATACACGTATGAAAGGCCCAAATCTTCCTTGAGATGTGTGAAGCAACTTGTTGCTCTACTGCCGTCAAGAAAAAGCATGCTAAGGGGTAAAGCAATTCAATCCATTTTCATAAAGTCACCTCACAGGATAGATACAAGTACATTCAATGGTGCTGTCAGTGCAGGAACATTATTAAACAGGATGTCTTTAACAAACTGCGACATACTAAAGATCTGAAACTATTCCAAAGCACATAGTTAACCAAAGAATCCTTTGGCTTATCATAATATATATCACTTTGCTGAAAGTGGTGTATTAGGGCTCTGGTTCCACTTCATAGCAAAGCTGTAGAATGTCGCAAGACTTATTCACTCTGTCAAGTTCAGTGTATTGACAGATTCTAAATGCTTCATTTTTAAGGTTTAAGATTATATTTAAAGTCACCACATTAAGCAACTCTTTAAAACGGAAAGAGAAAAAATGGATCTTGTAAAAGTTGCAGCCCACTTTGTAGTGCCTCTAAATAGAAGTATAGACATATTAGATCTAAATATATTTTTTCTGAAAGTGACTGCATTTTGATTTGTTATATGGCTTTGTTTTTGTTTGTTTGTTTTACTTATTTTACTTCCTTCCTGTATAGCTGTTATATTAGTAAGCTTAATAATACACAGCTGACATAATCTCTCTCAAAAAGTTTGTTTTAATTGTACATCTGCTTTAAAGGTTTTTCAAGTACATGGAGTGACATTTAGGAATCTTCTAATATCAGGACAGTCTTAAAATTGACCAGTTAGCAGTGTGGCATCCAACATCTAGATTTCTGTTCTTTATTTGATATGACACTAGCTCCCAAAAGGTGCAGTCAGGACAGAAGACCCCATTATTCTGGATGCTGTAAAAACTCATGGTTCCTAAACCAAAGATTGTACGGTTTAAGACTCTAACACTGAAACCCAAGTAGGTCTGTTTCTGTGCCCATGCAGAAAGGAAACTAAATTAACCTTAATTATAGCATTAGTCCATTTATCCAATGGTGCCAGGGGTCCAATAACAAAATAAACTGTAACCAAAAAGACTAGTGTTATGGGCCCTAAAGGTACTCCTAATTTTCCAGTTACTTTCAAGATAAATATCCAAGATGACAAAGAATGAACTGAAAGGAAACAACTTCTGATTAAATCATAGTAAAGCTCAGGAAGCCATCCCACATTCTAACATGTTTAGACAATCCAACCCTCTTGCTTCCATAAAGCTTTACTGCAGTCACCCTCAAACAGAGTGCTGCAAGATCCTCTAAGGGTATTGTACAACATTAACACTCTTAGGTGTGCAAACAGGAATGCATAGCATCAAAAATATTCTAAACTGTTGTGGTCTTTCCAAGTTCCCCATAACAAAAGAATTACTCTCATCATTTTTTTGTTGTCAAGAAATGAGTAACACCCGGAAGCTGGCATTTTCTGTGGGGTGCCTTGAGTCTACTAAAATTGAGAACCACTGCTTTACTGACTTCACTAGTACTTTGCCTGGTTACAGCCCAAGAAGATAAGACTGCAGGAATACAAGCTAACAATTAAGTATGTGTTTAAAGAAGTATTTAGATAGTCCTATCAAAATTTTCAGAGTCATCTGTGTGACACACATCATTTTCTCTATTCAGCTACTGTAATGTTATGCCTTGTCATTAAAAAAAAAAATCTCCAAAACGTTTATTAATAGTGTGGTTAAATACAAGACTCCCACTACGTGTAAGTAATATTTTAGCAAAGAGAGGTTTTAAACTGCTTAAGAAATACTTTCATTCATATTTACAACCAATGTACTCTTTCAAATCAATTTTGAGAATGTCTACCACCTTTTCCTGGACCTTTCTGAAAAACAATAATGCACAAAACCAATTACTTTGCTGAGTTTTTGTCCTTAATGGCATAGAACCCCTTTCAGTGGCCTATTTAAATGATTTTTTTCCGTTTAATGAGGTAGTGCCACAAGGGCAAGCATATATTAATATTAAAAGAACCAGTCAAAATAACTAAAATCATATTCATTGCATCAACTATCACCCTTACCCTTTCTGTCAGTGTATACAGTCTATTTTTACCTACAAGTATAACCTTACTACCCCACGCCATCTCCAGTGAAGAAGCTGTGCAAACAGAATTTTTGTAACAATGTCAGCACTGTACCCAAAGTGTTAGGATACTAATGGCACCTAAAATCCTAATCGAATAGTATAAATTGTTTGCTCCTCAGACAGTAACAATTTCCTGAGACTTATTACGTTGCTTGTATTCATTATCATAATTCAATTTTAATCAAACACTAATTTACTACTTCTTTCTCAGACAACAAACAGCTCTTTGTTAAAAGCATACCTGAATCATTAAGAAAATAACAAATACTACCCCATTCTAAGTACATGACATACTTGAAAAATCTGGGTTGCAGAAGAATATAATGTTTTGTGATTGTCCAGCAAAAAGTAAGTATAATCTCAGTACATGGTTTTTCTACAGTTCTAGTTTGCATAACAGATGTGTCTTCAAATATGTAAACCTTAAATACAGTGTTTTAATCAGGAATTATATGGCATGGCAGACCTATGATACATCTTCCTACTGATATAAGGTCCAGTTGTCTGTTACCTGAAAACATGCAATATATATGGGTAGAAATATACCAGAAAGTTTTCCTGTGGTCCTCTATGAATGTTTTCTTCTCTTTTTATTGTGAGAAATGTATATTCTCACACACATACTTTCAAAATAAAGGGAAACAGATTAGGTGCATCTGCTTGGTTTAAATTATGCTCTGCTGTTGAAATCTGCACATGTAAGCCATAGAAGTTTATCTATCGCTTCTTACCTCATATGACCAAACGCATTGGGTTCCACCAAACCGACGGACACATCGGCCCACTTCCACATCCTCATGTGTGGTGTACATCTCTTGAAGGCATTCACCTATGTGTGGCACCATTCTCCTGAGAACTTCTCGACTAAAGATCATTCCCGGCCCTCCCATGCAGAAATTCTCTCCAGGCTCAAGCCCCAGTTTTCCAAGTTCTTCAATGTTTCCCAGTCCAGTTTGCCCCAAATAAAGAGGCTTACTGCTGTTTAGTGACCGAAGAAACTCCTCCAATTTTTCCCCTAAGGAAAAAAAAAGAACATTCTCTTTTCATCTGTTCTAATAGATATCTAATTTTCCACAGGCCAAATAGTCTTTAAATGAAAAAACCTGCTTTGAAACAGTTTCTATAAATGTCTAAAGTAGTTCTTTGTGCCCCAGAACACAACTAAATATGCTTTAAGCTGCATTTACACAAAATTTATAACATAAGGTATATTCAAATATATGTCACTCCCCTAGCTTGACATTACTATGACATTTTATATAGCCAAAAGCTTTGGTGTATACTCATCTGCATCACTTTCCCAAAATAGCTTCAGAGAAATGAGCATCAATATAGTTTTTGCCATTTTGTCCCATTTGCCAGCAAGAATTATGCCTCAGCTAGGATGTTTTGCCATTATCACTCTGTTTTTGTAAACCATCTTCAAAAGTGAGATGGGGGAGAAGAATTTAGAAATTGTGATTTGACCCAACATCTCAGTAAACTAACAAGGCTAAATTAAATTTTTCATAATATCACCCTAAATGAAATAAAATGCCAGAAATTGAAATTGTGGCTACATTTCCCAAAATTCTGAGATCAATGTCAGTTCACTAATTTAGCTGTGCCTGTAGAAAATTCTTTTACACTTCAAATACCAGCATTCAGTCACCTGCTCTGAGAGACAGCCACACAGCAAGAGTTAAGTCTATATAAACTTTTCCACTGGACCCCTTCTTCACTATTTTTGAATAGTCTGTTATTGAACACTTTATTGAAGTTTAAATGTTGCATTTATGTTTAGTCTGACAACCACTCCTTTAGATATATATAGATATAGATATATCTATATATAGCTCACTTCCACATTATAAAGTATAAAAAAAAACTTGTTTCTTTTCTATATTACTGTAACTAAATATACACACGGACAACTGGATTATTTTTAAGGAAGCAAATTAGTCCATCAGACCATTTTAAAAGCAAACCAAATGACAAAAATTAATAAGATGCCTCAAAAAGGCAAGTTGCTGTTTCTCATATCTTTAGCACTCACTGCAAGTAGAACCATTGCACTGATAATATTCATAATCTATTGATGGCAAATCATTCTTTATCATCAAAATACTCATGTGCTCGTGTATTTTGAAAAAGGAAGATAGCAAAAGGCCATTTTCCAGTGGCACAGTAAATCTTGAATAAAAACATGCTAGTGTTTTTCAGAGATACCTTGCAGACCACGACAACAGCTTGAAAGGAAGCCTTTGCATGATAAAGGAGACAGTACCAATTTCCCTGCCTGCAAGGACCAACCGATAAGTTTTAACCATGTTTAAAAAGAGTGAGGAAGCTAAAATTAAAATCTTTAAAATCTGGCTGATTACTATATGTTGCGGTGCCTATACATGCCAGGGCTCTAGTATGTGCTTTGTGAGCAGCAGTACTCGGATGCAAAGGGGTAAGATGAGGACGGACTGCCACCCTTAGGCTGCACAGCTGAGCCATGCGAGAAGCAGAAATGCACAACACTGAAAAAAGCATAACTGAATTCCCACAAGCCTGGTGTTAACCTCTCCCCTAGTGTCCATCCTAAACTCTGCAAGTGGCAGAATTTGGCAGGGTTCTTTCCTTCGACCAAAAATCAGAGACCAGACTGCAGCAAGAAAACCTCTTCAAGGGAGCTTGTGAACTCTCAGAGGCTCACAGTACACCCTTTGAAAAAAAAAAACAAACTAAATAAAATGCCTATTTGAGACAGAGGAATTGGTTGACCCTGAAGTATAATTTCCAGCACATCCTCCTGGCTGCGCTTACCACAATCAAAATTATTGATTTCCAAGAGAAAAGCCTCAGTTCCTGCATACTAATATCACTAAAAGCTTTGGGGGCAGCCAACTCCCTTCCTTGTATCACTTGATTCCAGCTCCAGCCACAGTAGCTTGCGCAAATAAATACACATTGCTTCTAACCACCAGGAGAGCCAAGCTTGGGAACCGGGGAGTTGCCTTAAACCCGCAGCACCTCAGAGGCCAGAGATAGACACACCTGGCTACTTCTTAAAGAATCATAGAAAACAAGGGTTAGAAGGGACCTCAGGAGGTCATGTAGTCCAACCCCTGCTCAAAGCAGGACCATCCCAACCAGGGCTTTGTT